GGCCGCGGCGTCTTCCAAGACATGCGTCCCCAAGAAAGATGTTCGGCTACGTCGTTTATCTCAGCCTGATTAAGTCTGAACTGCTTCCTTAGCTCCAGTTTTCCAGGGTGGCCCAGCTATGCGCTGTGCCAATCTGCTCCGAGTGGCTGTAAAGGTACTTCTCGTCGCGCTTGTGCGAAATGAAAACCTGAGAAATGAAAACTATGACAACATTTCATAATATGACGTATCTCTGCAACTGGCGTATTGGCGTATTGGCGCTCATCCGCCAAGGCTCCAGGAAGATGATTGCTTCAACCCCCCACACCCCCAGACTACCAGGTACCAGCATGTAGCAAGGCAAGATCCTTATCATTTTGGAGGAAAAAAAACAGGACAGACCAACAGTGATTCTGAAGTTCACAGGTGCACATCCCGCTGAGTGCAAAAGTTGGTGCCGAGCGTGGCGCGTGATCGATCTTGCCACACTTCCGGAACATGTCGCGGATTTCCTGCCGAGCCCGAAACCTTGCATCAACCATCCCCTAGCGCCATGCTTTCATTCAGACAGATCCAAGACCTGGCAGCTGGTACTCCCAGTTCCCCTCTTGAACAAGCCCTTGTCTGTTTGCCACACCGACGGACCTCTAAGGCTTCAAGTCCAGCCTCCTCGGTGACATCGGTTGGAAGCGACCCTACCTCAGAACGACCCGCAATCTAGGCTTTCGCTGATGAAATCTCTGATCTGACAAAGTGCAAGAGGCTTATTCACCTGCAGCTCATCTTGACCCCGTCAAACTGAAATACTGTGCCCGGGTGACCACGTGATTGGCACTGGCAGAACTGCCGACCTCGGGTCCCGGCCCAGAGCGTCTTCTGCTCCTCGTCGCCCATGGCTTTAAGGCGCGAAGCGCGCGATGCGCGCCTTCTCGTTGAAACGACTCAAAAGGAGCAACTGTGAGCCCCATGAGCCCCTGTGGGATTCGGGTGGGATGGAGGCCCCCCTACGAGGCTCCATGCCTACGAACCTCTGGAATGACCAAGCTCGGAAGGCGCAGTCGGAAGAGAAGGAATCAAAGAGGGCGTTGTGTGCCTGTGCGTGTGTGGTATGCTGCGCCCGTGGTCAGGTAGTCTGTGCAATTTTGCCATCGCCGGCCTGGCAATAAAAGTGGGATAGCACACACAAAGCACTCTATTCATGAGCTCACTCTTCCATGGGCTAACAAAGCAGCCCGTCTTGGAGCCAAGAGACTTCACACAGCAACGACCTTCCAGCAGTTTGCACCCATCACCCCTCGCAACGAGCGCCAAGTGTGCCCTCATCCATCGCACCTCGTGTATCCCATTCCACTCATGACCCGAACGTTGCTCACAGTCTCACAGTCCATTTCCTGGGCACTTCCAAGGCGCTCAGTTTTCCGCACGCTCACCGATACCGTGCCCAGGTTGCCGGCTCTGGGAAGGCCCTATGAGCCAAAAGCAATGCCCGTTTGCGGCAAATCCGGTGACTACATGCGGTTGAGGACACACCACTTGTGCAAGTCACGGTCTTGATGTCAAGCATGGCAACCTGTTCAAAGTACTGTGAGAGACGCTACTCCGCTCAGCTTGGCGCCCGAGTGAGGTGCCAACTTTGTAGGCGTCGCTTCCCAAATGCTGCCACCTTAATGGGGAATACCGCAACACTGTCAGCTGACATGTAAACAATCTCCACCCAGGGATCGTTTCCCAATCGAAATCATACTCAAAAGATCAAAACTGTATCTGTTGAAAAGTGGATGTCATCCCTCATCCAAGCAATTGGCCTCACAAAGCATCATTCATCGTCTTCATCCTCCTCGATCGCTGCACCTGACGCAGTGACATATTTGCTCCATTCATGGGGGTGCTGTGAGCGCATAAACCAAAAGCTGAAATGGAGGTCAAGAAGCAGAATTGGGGTTGGACAACCTCCTTTCATACAAGTGTTTTGCCACCTGTCTGAATTATGGCTGAGATGCACTAGATGCTCATGAATCCAAATGAAACCTGTGCTAGTGTGGAGTCTCCTTGGTCTGCTGAACTGGGAAAGTGGTCAATCAAACTTGCTGGATGGATCATGGACGAAATACGTCTGATCCCGAATATTGTGTGGGTCTTGGTTGGGGTGCAGACAAGGAGGTTGTCCACATGGCCACATGGAAAGGCCAGCCAGCGCGCCTGGCGCCAGGTGCGAGGTGACCTTGGAAGGCGCCGAGACTTCGCCCAATGCGACACGACACACGCAAAAGGCACGGCCAAGTTGCCCAACCCAAGAAGCCTCGACATGTCAGGCCGCGGCCTCGTTCGTCGCCTATCTATTGGGCTTGAGAGGACCATTTCCGGATTTCCCCCGGTGCAAATCTTCCGGTCCGAGATCCTGGCCATCACTCGCATGCGATCCTCCCCCGTCTCAGCGGCGAGGGGAGTGCGAGTTTGGTAAACTCAAACCCTTCAAACCTAATACTCCGGCTGCGCATTGGGACGGTTTGGGTGTGCCACGGCAGGGTCTTCCGCCGATTATGCTTGCACCCTTCAGCAACCCTCTCCGCCAAACCTGCCTCTGTAAGCAGCGGCGGGGACTCCGGCCCGTCCTGCGACACAGGAGCAAACCGAGTAAACACAACTAGGCCGGGCCAACCCCCTGCTCACCCACCTTTTGCTTAAACACCCTTCATGTTGTTTTTGTTCCCCTTTGTTTCCCCCCAAGGGGGGCGGGGTCTCGTTGATACGAAGTGTGAACCCCTCCTCCTCCAGCCATCGAGCGCGCCAAATCGGCCACACCTCGGAAGCCAAAGCCGCAGGTCAGTCTGGCAAATGACGGGCAACGGAGCTCGTGTGAGCCACCGTGTGCTCCTTGGACCTGTTCTTTTTGGAGCTTCAGAAGTTGCGTGGGGACCACCCCACCGAGCCTTCGACTTGGTCAAACATCGAGGTCGGCGCTTCTTCAGAGCCGTGATCTGAGGGGAGCCCTTCCCGTGTGCTGTCTACTGCAGAATTGGCCCGCGTAATGCCAGGCACCAACGAAGGATGGGGTGAATGCCTAGGGTCTCGGCTGCGGCTAAACATGCCAAACCTAAACCCTAAAAACCCTGAAAACCCTAAACCCTAAAATCCTGAAACCTGAACCCAACAATAGGGCTAAACCCCAAAAAATCCTAAAGCCCCAAACCCAAACCTGCTTAGGGCCAGTGTTTTTGGGTGTTTGGGTTCCAAACTTAAACCCTGCACCTAAACCCTAAATCTAAACGGTCCTGGGAATAGCGTTGGTCTGGAGCGTGCATCACCTTACCTTGGGCCCAACCCAAGTCCTAAATCGCCCCTAAATCCTTCATAACCTCTTCCCCTCCTTTTGGTCTCCGCAAAGGGCTCTCGGCAGTGACAGCCCGGCCCCCGGCCCTCCTGAAGTAAACAAGGATAACATTCTGGCAAGAATGCTTCGACGCAAAGAAGCAATTCTGTCACACTTAAGTTGGGTGTCATTTCTCCAAGGTTTCCACACATTAGGTTGATACATTCAGGACGATGTTCGTGTAGCATTTGGTCAGCCTGAGAAGCAGGTTCCAATCGAGCTAGTATTTGCACAATTTATCTGGTAAGGCTGTATATGGTTTTGATGTACTCTCTTCAACAGGTGCAGCTGTTGCAAGTAAGATCTTGCCACCAGGTTGGATTGAAGCCATTAACAGTCAAAAAAAAAAAGGCGCGGTAGGAACTCACTCTGAAGAATTGGCCCCGGAAACTGGGGCCCCAAGCCACGGAGAGCACCAGGCCCTCCAGCAGCCCGGCGGGCACCGGGCCGAAGGCTCGCGAGTCCACGCTCAGCTTCCCGTTGTCCCCCTCCACCTGGCTCTCGGCTCTCGGCTCTCGGCTCTCGGCTCTCGGCTCTCGGCTCACTGCGAGCGGCCCTATGAGGTACGGCTTTGCCAAAGAAACCGCCTTGGGCTCTAGGACTCTGGGAGCCCTTTCGGACTGATGGAAATTCTGCTACGGATCCACGGTGTCCAAGCTTCCAGAGATACAGCTGTGTTTCGTAGGCTGTGACTTCCGCTTTGGTTCGAACGTCTGAATCTGGAAAGACAACTGGGGAAGAAAGCCTAAGCCTGGAATATGAAAATACGTGATTGAGGGTAAGTTGTACAACGTCCACTTTTGAAAAGCGGTGATGTTCTTGGATGGGGCTCAGGCTGTGGGGCATGCAAAACTGGACATTTCGCGGAAGAACCAGGAGGAAATAAGAAGAATCGGCTTGTTGCGTGTGCGTGGGACGCACACGGCAACCGGCGCTTGCGTTGGTAACACCGCAGGGACACCCAGCAGTGGCCCTCCGGCACGAAGAGGTGCCCGGTGTTGGGAGTCCTCACCACCTGGCTGACTTTCAAGAAAAACCAATGGTGCGACTCAAGCCTTTGGCAAAGGCTCATCCCCTTGGATACACCAGAAAGTCACACGCCCAAACCTTCGACGAATTGGCAAACTGGCTGGCAGGCTCGAGAAGCAAACCTGTTGCCCATGGCGGTGACACAAAAACGTGTACCGCGGGACCTCTATTTTCTGATTTCTGTTTTTTTGTTGGCTGGACCCTTTGATGAACATCATTCGCATGGCGATTTATGTACACCAACCACTTCTGAACTTCTGAAATTATTCATGGACGTGAACGGGGTTGAAAGAGCAAAAGGAAGCAGGCGTTGGTTGAGTGTGCCTTGGCTGCACAAGAGGAAGGTTGGTTGTGGGTTGCTTCAGGGACGACAAGACACTGTCCACTTGGAAGGGACAACACAAAGAGTTCCAGTGCTTCAAAGTGCCAGAAAAGCGTTCGAGACAAGCCTCCATATCTGGACTTGCGAAGCACTATTCAAGCGCAGCGGTGAGTTTGTTGAACGCAAAATGCCTGGCTCGAAACTCAAATCTGTGATGCTGTGTGGAATCACAGCCAACATGCTCGCCTCGTGTTCCTGCGCGATGAGGCGTTTCACGATGAGTTCGTTGGTGCCCGGATCCTGGGGATGGGTAGCAGGATGCAGGGTCAGTCCGATGGATGCATGCTGAGTGCCACATGCTCCCAACATATTTCAGTCATTGCCTCTTTGCACATGCCACTTCAGTTCTTGCAAGCTGTTGTGCGTACAGCTATGCTGGACACACACACACACACATACATACATACATACATACAGACAGACATACATACATACATAACATAACATAACCTAACATAACATAACATGACATAATATAACATAACATAACATAACATAACATAACATACATACATACATACATTACATACATACATACTTACATCAAATTACATACATACATACATACATACATACATACATTACATACATACATACATACATACATTACATACATACATACATACATACATACATACATACATATACACACACACACATACATATATACATACATACATACATACATACATACATACATACACACATACATTACATTACATTACATTACATTACATTACATTACATTACATTACATTACATTACATTACATTACATACATACATACATACATACATACATACATACATACATTACATACATACATACATACATACATACATACATACATACATACATACATACATACATACATACATACATACATACATACATACATACATACATACATACATACATACATACATACATACATACATACATACATACATACATACATACATACATACATACATACATACATACATACATACATACATACATACATACATACATACATACATACATACATACATACATACATACATACATACATACATACATACATACATACATACATACATACATACATACATACATACATACATACATACATACATACATACATACATACATTACATACATACATACATTACATTACATTACATTACATTACATTACATTACATTACATTACATTACATTACATTACATACATACATACATACATACATACTTACATACATACATACACACACATACATACATACATACATACATACATACATACATACATACGTACATACATACATACATACATACATTACATACATTACAGTACATTACATTACATTACATTAGATTACATTACATTACATTACATTACATTACATTACATTACATTACATACATACATACATACATTACATACATTACATACATTCATTACATACATATATACATACATACAAACATACATATATACATACATACATACTTGCATTACATTATGTTACGTTACATTACATTACTTACATACATTACATTACATACATACATTACATACATACATTACATTACATTCCACTACACTACACTACGCTACACTACACTACACTACATGACATTACATTACGTTATATTACATTGCATTACATGACATTACATTACATTACATTACGTACAGAAATACATACCTTACATACATACATACATACGTACATACAATACATTACATTACATTACATTACATTACATTACATCACATTACATTACATTACATTACATACATACATACTTACATTACATTACATTACACTACATTACATTACTTTACATTAGATTACATGACATGACATTACATTACATACATTACATTACATTACATTACATTACATTACATTAGATTACATTAAATTGCATTACATTACATTACATTACATTACATACATACACACAGACATTACACACTTACAAACATACATACATACACACATACATACATACATACATTACATACATACATGCATACATTACATACTTACATACATACATACGTACATACATACATACATACATACATACATACATACATACATACATACATACATACATACATACATACATACATACATACATACATACATACATACATACATACATACATACATACATACATACATACATACATACATACATACATACATACATACATACATACATACATACATACATACATACATACATACATACATACATACATACATACATACATACATACATACATACATACATACATACATACATACATACATACATACATACATACATACATACATACATTACATACATACATACATACATACATACATACATACATTACATACATACATACATACATACATACATACATACATTACATACATACATACATACATACATACATACATACATACATACATACATACATACATACATACATACATACATACATACATACATACATACATACATACATACATACATACATACATACATACATACATACATACATACATACATACATACATACATACATTACATACATACATACATACATACATACATACATACATACATACATACATACATACATACATACATACATACATACATACATACATACATACATACATACATACATACATACATACATACATACATACATACATACATACATACATACATACATACATACATACATACATACATACATACATACATACATACATACATACATTACATACATACATACATACATACATACATACATACATACATACATACATACATACATACATACATACATACATACATACATACATACATACATACATACATACATACATACATACATACATACATACATACATACATACATACATACATACATACATACATACATACATACATACATACATACATACATACATACATACATACATACATACATACATACATACATACATACATACATACATACATACATACATACATACATTACATACATACATACATACATACATACATACATACATACATACATACATACATACATACATACATACATACATACATACATACATACATACATACATACATACATACATACATACATACATACATACATACATACATACATACATACATACATACATACGTACATACATACATACATACATACATACATACATACATACATACATACATACATACATACATACATACATACATACATACATACATACATACATACATTACATACATACATACATACATACATACATACATACATACATACATACATACATACATACATACATACATACATACATTACATTACATTACATTACATTACATTACATTACATTACATTACATTACATTACATTACATTACATTACATTACATTACATTACATTACATTACATTACATACATACACACACACATACATACATACATCATTACATTACATACATACATACACACATACATAACATACATACATACATACTTACTTACTTACTTACTTACTTAGTTACGTACATTACATTACATTACATTACATCACATTACACATTACATTAAATTACATTGCATTACATTACATTACATTACATTACATACATACATACATACATACTTGCTTACTTACACTACATACATACATATATGCAGTTCATTTCATTTCATTTCATTTTCATTTCATTACATTACATTACATTAGATACATACATTACATCACCTCACATCACATAACATCAAATCACATTACATTACATTACATCATATTCCATTCCATTCCATTCCATTCCATTCCATTACATTACATTACATTACATTACATTACATTACATACATACATACATCACATACATCACATACATATACACTTACACTTACACTTACACTTACACTACTTACACTTACACTTACACTTTCACTTACACCTACACTTACACTTACACTTACACACACAGTGTGCACACTTCCTTCTTCACCGCTATTCGACATCTCGTACCGTTCCGCCGGCAAACCCTGCACTCTTGCAGTTCATCCTCCGGCAACTTTGAAATCGATCTGACAAACTTCATGCAGGCTCTTTGGCCTGTCAGCACTCAGCTCTCAGGCTGCTGGGGCTTGAGGCGCCAGGGCTGCAGACGCTGGTGCTTCAGGTTCCGTCACCTGAGACGAGGTTTCGGGAGCGCTCGGCGCAGGCGTCGCAAGCGCCGCAGCCGTTGACTCCCCTGTGACTAGCGCCGGTGCCGCTGCTGGTGCCGCTGCTGGTGCCGGTGCTGGCGCTGCCGCCGTTGACTCCCCTGTGACTAGCGCCGGTGCTGGTGCCGCTGCCGATGCAGGTGCTGGTGCTGCCGCCGTTGAATCCGCTGTCACGGGCGCCTCTGACACTGCTGGCGCCGGCGCTTTCGCTGCCGCCGTTGACTCCGCCGTCACGGGCGCCTCTGCCGCTGCTGGCACCGGTGCTGGCGCTGCGGCCATTGACTCCGCTGTCACAGGCGCCTCTGCCGCTGCTGGCGCCGGGGCTGCCGCCTCCCCCAACACCGGCGCTGTTGCAGTTTCCGCAGCCGGTGGCTCAGGCGCTGCATTCAGGCCCAAGGTCTCCTTGGGATGCGTGTGTCACTTGGAAGCATTCAAACCATTGGAATTGCTGCAGCACTGCCAAGACACCTTGACATGCGCCATCGCATCAACCTGGCGCCATGATCAAGCGTTACCAAAACCGTGCAAAAACCGTCGCAACGCTGTGAGCGTGTCCCATGTTGCTTTCCCAGGAACCGCTTCAACGATTCAAGGGTTGCCCATTGACTGTTGCCCACACGGCCAAATGTCAGGCCTCCGGCACATCGGCGGCCTTCATCGCGCTTTTCAGGCGCCCCAGGACTCGGAGGCCATAGAGCCCGAAGCAAGCCTCAAATGAGCGGATGCCAAAGTCGCTCTTGCTTTTTGCGCTAGGCGCCGAGCTATCCCGGCAAGAGACCCCAAATAGTCTTGAGCATGGCTTACCTTGATGATGGGTGGCCCGGAAGCATAGAAGCACGTTTAATGAACGCTGACACCTCCCCCGCCTGATGAGCAACAGAACGTAAACACGTCAACGTCTGCGCTCAAGCAAAGCTTCTGCAAGTTCTGGTGAGCGAGCTTAGAATCATGCTTCACAATCTCTTCTCCCCTGTTGCACATATGCT